GGTTTACGGTAAACTGTAGTACTGAAGTTGGATGTGTTACGTGTGACCAGAATGTCGAGAAACGGAAGAGAATTGCAAGTCTCAAGTTCAAAAGTGAACTGAATAGCAGGATCAATAGAATTCATTGTTGAAAGAACTTTATTTAAATCATTTTATTACCTTCAAACAGGGTAAAAGTATCGTCTACGTAGCGGAACCATGCCGGAAAGTTTAAAGTTTCAAACAATTTTGATTCATAATAATGCATGTCTCTCACTCAACTCTGTTTGAAACAAACACATTTTGTTTTCCAAAATAAATATTACAAACAAACTGAGGGATTAGCCATGGGAAGCCCTCAGTCCCATCCTGGCTGATATCTACATGCATTATTATGAATCAAAATTGTTTGAAACTTTAAACTTTCCGGCATGGTTCCGCTACGTAGACGATACTTTTACCCTGTTTGAAGGTAATAAAGATGATTTAAATAAAGTTCTTTCAACAATGAATTCTATTGATCCTGCTATTCAGTTCACTTTTGAACTTGAGACTTGCAATTCTCTTCCGTTTCTCGACATTCTGGTCACACGTAACACATCCAACTTCAGTACTACAGTTTACCGTAAACCTTCATCGGTTTGCCTTCCACCACACTTTAAATCATGTCATCCGACTAAACAAAAGTTAGCTTCATTTTATTCCTATGTTTTCCGTGCTCTTCAAGTTTGCTCCTCCAAATTCGCCCTTGATGAAGAACTAAATTATTTAAAAGCAATAGCTATTGACAGGGGCTTTTCACCCAACATTATTAATCAAGCAGTTAAAAAATTCTCATCTCAACACACTAAAAGCCACACTCTTATTTTAGGAGATTATAAAAATTCTGTTGTCATTCCCTTCTTTCCATCAATTAGCTATAAAGTTGCACATATTTTGCAGAAATTTAACTTTCGGGTTGTTTATTCTCCCATCAATAAAATTCCAACTTCTATACTCAAGGACCCCATTCCGGATATGAATTCCTGGGGTATTTATAGGATTCCTTGCCAGTGTGGTTTAATTTACATTGGCCAAACTAAGAGAGCCTTAAAATTTCGCGTCAAAGAACATGAGGCATATGTTAGAAAAAAGGAAACACAGAAGTCTTCTGTTGCTCAACATTGTTGGTCCGAAAATCACACTTTCAATTTTTCTGCTGCCAAAATTATTCAAAAAACATCTTCCATTGGAGAACTGGATTTTCTAGAGGCATTTCACATTCATAAAAATCTTTCTGTTCTAGTTAACGATCCTAATTCCAATCCAAATTTGCCTTCGGCTTTTAGAGAAATTATGTTTTAGTTCTGGTTTCGCCAACAGATGGCGCCACTTGCTTATTCTTGTCCAGCCTTTCTTATCTAATCATTATTTCCTATCTTGTTCATTTGCGGTTTTGCAGCTGAAGATGATGGTTCTGTAAAACCATCGAAACTAGTCCTGTGAAAATTTTGTAGGTATAACGCTGATTTTTGTTGTTTGACTTCTGAATTAGTATTTATTCGGCGTGTTATTGTGTCTTAATTAAGTGAATGTATATGTGTATGCATGATGCCCACATATATGTGTGTATATACAGGCATTAATAAACACATACATCCTTACATATATGCACACATACATACATTTTTGAATCTGGTCTCAATAACAAAACAGTATCGAAACATCTGAAGGATTTTGTATTTTTAACACTCAGTCGGGCACGTCTCGAAACTTGCGGCATCGGGCGCTCTGTATCTGTCAGATACATCTCTATTTTACGTGTTTTCTGGGGATCTATATTACTTTAAATCTTCTATTTTTATTCTTTTTAGGTCCAGGCTTTAACACCCCGACCTTTCTTTCTTTTTTAAAATTTTTTAATATATTTATTTATTATTTACAATCACTATCACAGGTTAAAATGGCGTTTAAAAACACACACAATGAAACATGTTAATACAGTTGAAAAAATTTTTAAATATGGCAAATTCAGCATTTAATTCCTCATTTCCACCACTAAACAGAATATTATGGACTAGTTCAAGGCCTTTTTGATTATTCAAATCTAAAAAGCATTTAGCACTCATGCACTCATCATGGGAAAAGTAAATCAAAAATCTATAAGAAATCTCGATACTTACATAAAGCTTCAGGAGACAAACGTTATCGGGCACGTGTATCTGACAGATACAAAGTTTCAAATAAGCTTAAAAACAGGAAATACACCTACACTGAACTGGTCGTTACTGCATTCCAAAGGAGGGGGTGGCCAGATGGACAGATACTGATAAGGTCAAGGTCGTGAGAAGAAGTTTAAGGGGACAAAAACAGAGATTCTGGCATGCCTGTATCTCTCAGATCAACGCACCCGATGGAGTGTTAAATTAATGTAGTTATTTCTAAACCTAAGTCAAAAATTCTTGTTGCTCTTGCTGTGTTCAGAATTTGTAGGCAATAGAATAATCTGCAGAATTGTATATAAACCTTAAACCTTCCCATAATGTACTGAATATTTTTTCCAACCAAGCATTTTTCTTCTGATGAAAACTGTCAGGTTTAGTAGGGATTAATTGAAGTCGAAAGGAGATACAGCAGTCTTCACAGTAATATAAATGGTCTTTTTCATTCGACTGAATACTAATTCATTTGAAAGACAGAGCCAGTATTTTTAGACCAAAGGGGCTTTGTCGCTGAGGGACTATTGTTTTCGTTTTACAATTTTGTGTTGAATCACTCTGAATATCCATTTCACATTTGAAACTGTTGCCACCAAATATTATCGCCCTGTATTACATTTGAAGAAATTAAATAATGAAAAATCTGTGTAAATGTATGTATATTTCTTTCATTGTGATAAAATAATGGTACATAGAGCCATCGAATTTTGAATGACGTAATCCTACTGCAAATATGGGCATGTGAAAGCCAAATTTGAAATTTTTAACCTGTTTTATTATCGATTTCATATTTTGTAAAACTTTAATGAATTTTTGAGTAACAAACTGAACGATTTGAAAGCAAGCAATGGCAACAATCTACGGGGGAAATGGGGACCTTTTTATATCCAGCGCACAGAACTGTGTATCGGAAAGCTAACCAGTCGCCAATCGCCAATATCTAACCAATCGCGAACAATTGTGGCCCGGTAACATGGCGCATTGTCGTCAATAAAAATCCCATCATTGTTTGAGTACGTGAAGTCCATAAATGGCTGTAAGTGATCTCCAAGTAGCTGAAAGTATCCATTCCCAGTCAATGATCGGTTCAGTTGCACCAGAGGACCGAGTCCATGCCATGTAAAAACAGTCCAGACCATTATGGAACCACCACCAGCTTGAACAGTGCCTTGTTGACAGCTTGGGTCCATGGCTTCGTGGGGTCTGCGCCACACTCGAACCCTACCATCAGCTCTTACCAACTGAAATTGTGACTCATCTGACCAAGCCACGGTTTTCCATTCGTTTAGGGACCAATCGATATGCTCACGAGCCCACGAGAGTCGCTGCAGGCGATGTCGTGCTGTCAGTAAAGGCACTCGAGTCAGACTTCTGCTGGCATAGCCCAAGGAAGACAAATTTCGCTGTCCTATCGGACACGTCCCTCGTATGTCCCACATTGATTTCTGCGGTTATTTGACGCAGTGTTGCTTGTCTGTGAACATTGACAACTCTATGCAGACATCGCTGGTCTCGATCGTTAAGTGTAGGTGGTCAGCCACTGCGCTGTCCTTGGTGGGATGTTATGCCTGAAATTAGATACTCTCGGCACACTCTTGACACTGTGGATCTCGGAATGTTGAATTCCCTAATGATATCCGAAATGGAATGACCCATGCGTCTAGCTCCAACTACCATTCTGCGTTCAAAGTCTGTTAATTCTCGTCGTGCGGCCATAATCACGTCAAAGCCTCTTCACATGAATAACTTGAACACAAATGAAAGTACCGCCAAAGCACTTCGCATTTATATATTTTCTACGCAATACTACTGCCATCTGTATATTTGCATATTGCTATCCCATGACTTTTGTCACTTCAGTGTATATCTAAAATGCCTTTATTAGCTGAATTTGTATATTTATCTATTTTAGTCTCTCTTTTCTTAAACTTACGTTCATTAAGTTGACATTTATATTATTAATGAAAGTAAGAAAGAAAAATATCTTAAATTATAGGCTAGTATATACCAAGTAACAAAAAATCTCATGACCGGATAAAGCCGGCCATGGTGATCAGATGGTCAAATTTTCTCTATAGCTTTTTAATAAACATATGTGTATTTTTAAAAACTGAATTCTTAACTTACTTTCTTTTAAAAGCAGATTTCAAAATTTCTTTATGTTAAAACTTTTAGTATTCACTAAAAGTTCCCTGCTCCCCCCTTAGTATTATTCTAATTTGAAGGATTTGAATAAATAATAAAATAATTCTTATTATTTATTATTCCAATTTAAAATTCTGCTGTGATTTAAATTCAAAGTAATTATTTAATTACAACTATTTTATTAAGTCATATTTTCATATAAATGTCGGGCGATCTAGGTGGCCAGATCATTCGCTGGAATTGTCCAGAATGTAATTCTAACCAATCGCGAACAATTGTGGCCCGGTGACATGGCACATTGTCATCCATAAAAATATATAATACCAAATATTATATTATATTATATATAATACCAATTATTTTTGGAAACATTTTTATTAAAATGATAAAACTTATCTGTTTGAATTTATTTTAAGGTCATTTACATATAATAAAGAACTATGAGGAATTATGGCAGCTGAAACTTAATTTGCAGTTTAATTCTCTTTTGGCACTGTAATAAGCACCAAAATGTAAATATTTAAAACAGTTCTGTGTATTTATAAAATTTTAAAGTATGTTTTAAAAATGGTAAGATTATTATAAGTTTGGAAGTTTTATTATTAAAGCTCAGATTAAGAAATCGATAAACTGAGTTTAGATTATTCTTCTAATGTATTAATACTTTAATTTATTCAGTATCTTTTATAGGTTGTGATGGATGTCAGTTTAAAAAGAAGAAAGCTCTTTTATAATAACTTGTTGCTTCTTGGTTTGGATAAAGTAGCATTAGAAAAGAAGTATAGAGTGTCATTTGATAGGTACGTAAATACAAATGTGTAATTATAAGAATTTGTCATATTTTATTTTTGAAACGAAATTTTCATACAAATTACTTGTAATAATGAATATCGGTTTGGTTTAATAGTCTCTCAATTGTTAACGCTCTGACTGCTCAATTTGTGGATGAAAATCGCTTTATTTATTTATTTATTTATTATTTATTTATTTTTTCTTCATATTTTAAATCTATATATATTGGAGAATTAAAAAATGCATTTTTCCTTTCTAGAAAATATTTTTATATAACTTTTTATCATGAGAAACTAAGTTGCCAGAAAAACCAATTTCGGATGTTATCACCAGAAAAAAAATTTTTTTTAATAAATTTTAGTCGAATTACAGTCCATTTCTATTTATTGCATAATATGAAAAAAATATATAAAATTTAAGAAAAATAAAGCACTGAGGGAAAAATACCTTAGAAATGCAGTTTAGTATGATAGAGTTCAAAACAGGGTTCAAGACAAAGTCCAACTTCACACTCTTTGCACCAGATTCAATAAATCTAATTAATAATTTAATTAAATAATCAAGATAATCGCTGAATGTTTTCCAGCAGCCATTTCTGTAAGAAAAAAGTGGAGTTTGAGCGGTAATACCACGTGCCTTCAAATGCCTCAATTTAGTGGACAACTAACGATATCTGTTGGCCAAAACGTAAACTAAACTTCTAATACTGTATATAATTTATTTCAGTGGTTAAACGGGGGAAAAACGGGATGCGCTTCTCAATAAAGGAAGAAAAACACATGATCGCGGGATGAGCAGATTTTGCTACATTTGAGTTGCCTGTGGAAATCGTGCGATGAGCAGCCAGAGGGTTAACACGTTTTTTTTTTTTTTTTCTGTTAGGACATATTGAAAATGTGCATATTTGTCAGAATATTGGAACTTTTTCTAAAAATCTGAAGATTTTTGCATATTTAATAGTTGTATTTGAGTTCTGTGGTAAATAATGATAACAATTTTAAGAAATGATGGTCATAGATGACAAGGTATCCATAGTTCGCTTGTTATTTAATATTTTAAATTAAACATTGTTACAATAATTTAAGACTACTGCCTTCATGTTGTTTAACAAATCTAAGGTCATTCTAAGAAGTGATGTACTCACTGTCTAACTACACTCCACAGTCAAGGACACTCAAAGTGTCTCAAAAAATTTTTAGTCCCCAAATGTAAAGGTGCAGTACATTGATTCAGTAAGAAATAACCAAATAACTAAGTTCACCTCTTAAAGGAACAGAAAAACTTTGGACAGAAAACAATTTGTCTCTAATAACTTATGAGTAAAAGTTGAATTGAATTCTATCAATTATAAAATTATTTTTGCTTGTAACAAACTAACATGTATGACTTCTTGAGGTCACATTTAATCTGTGCTACATAGAAGCTGGAAAATAATTTCTAACAACATTTATATTACACATTGAGGAAACTGTTAAAATGTCAAATGGTTTAAATGTCATTGTATAAACTCAATACAAAACTGATAAGTGTTTCCTGTCTGCTGTTTGGCCCTTATTGTATGGAAAGAGAAAATCGGGTACTTTATCATCAGTATCTGCTCGAAAAGGCACCAAACTATTGTATGAAATATGATGGAAAATAAAGTATTTTGCCCATGGATTTTGTTTTTATTTCTATTGCTAAAGTATGCCAAGATTTATTTTTTTGTATCCATGTAAAAATATTAAGGAAATATGCATCATACAATTTTGATGTCTCGAAGTATGTTATATCTGTTATACTTGACTTGATTTTGGGCAGACCATCATGGTTAAATTTTTTCCATCAAATCAAACACCATGCATGAAATAAAGCAAAAATCTGAAATCTGGATCCTAATCTTAAATTGTTAATTTATTGAGATGACATAAAACTTTTAATAGCTTCCAACAATGAAGAAAAAAAGTTAGTTTTTTATAATTTCATCGCCACATAAACTCAGTATAATTCGAAATGTTGTCGAGCCATGACTCGATGATATTTATTGTACCATTTTGTGCTTTCCCACATATGCTGTAATGTTTGGGTATGACATCCACTTTCTAGATAAACAAAGTGAAATTTGTGGTTCACTGTGAAATGTTCATAGCTGCATCTCGCAGTTCATCTGATTTATATGCCTTCTAAGAATCTGTGTTAATAGTTGTTCCTTCCATAATATTTTCCTTAATGAGAGCCAATAAAGTTTTTATTGATCAATTAAGAATTATAATTAAAAGGCATTTACTGGATTCTCTGCACTGTACACTGAAAACCCATTGTTCTGAAAAACACGCCGAATATTACTCTTTCTTTTAGTGAAAAGGCTTTCAACTATTTTGCCTACCATTATGCTTCTGCTTATTTTCAGCATTGGCCAGGCTATTAAAGCTGCTGTTCAAACCTCCTGCATGTAACGGTTCTAATTAGCAGTCATGTTATGGTTCATCTTAAGTTATTATTCACAAAATTCAATTGATATTTTTTGCCATCAAAAAATATATGAACCTCACAATTGTGAGGAGAGGTATTTTGGAACCTTCCAACCAATTTTACTTTTAGAATCCTTTTCTCTCATTGCAAGATCCTTTCCTGTAGCACCACTTCACTGTGTTTTGTTCAAAACTCAATTTCATTTCATGATCTTTTGAGCACAACTGTTTATTTTTGATGATATCTCTTACTTGAAATAAATCAATCACTGACTTTTCATCCATAGGCAATTCCCAAATTATGGAATCAATGGCAAGTAGCCAAAAAAAGAAAAGAAACCCTTTAATTAAATATTTTTTCTTGTGAAAAATTCACAGTATTCATGAATTGTGTCAAATGATCTCGTGAATTGTGTGACTCATTCATTGAACTTTGAAATTCTGTTAGGTTTACCACAATTAATTAAGCATTACTGGCATCAATGATAATTTGGTGATTTTTTTATGGCTCCCGGAAATGGAGTAGTACCGTTTGTCATTTAAAACATATTGATTTATCATTGGGACATATACGGCTTTTAAATATGTTATTACATATTAAGTCATGGTTATCCATTTGAAGTGTTCTAGTTGCAGTTTAGAAAGTGAAATTGTACATTACTTAACCATACTAGAAAACTTAAAAACAACCTCAAGTGACATTTTGCATTTGGCAACAAAACCTCTTTAAAAAAGTGTTATTTATAAAACATTATCTTAATAAGCTATAATAAAGAACTAAATTGCTCCCTTTTAAAATATTAATAAATTGTACAGGGTATTTTAAAAGGAAAGAGAAGATTTTATTCGTACTTCTGTAGAGAACTTATTGAATTAAAAAACCCAAAAGGCGATAATAGTATTACGTGGCATATTGCCAATGCCATAATTGGATTATTTATATCTGGTTACTATTCATCTTACTTTGTTTTCTTCTTTCTATTCTTTTTCGTAATATGTTGTATCTGTGAAATTTCTTTTTATCTAGCATTTAGCTGTTGTTTAACTTGATTAACTAAATTATAACTACTGTTATCATCTATAGGCTGATTCTAAATGTTATCAAAGGCAATTTTCTCATTACATAATCTTGTCTACGTTAAATTTAACCATTTGTTTTACTGTAGTAACAATTAAAAAAAAATACTGTTCATTAGATACTTGAAAATTTACTCAATGATAAATAAAACATCATCCATACAGTGAAATTTTAAATGCTGTCATACCTAGTTTTCCCATTGTATAATCCAATATGAAAATGTTTTTAATTCTTTCAGTTTAACTTCCCTTTCCTTAAAGTGCTTTTCCAAACTCTAAATCAGGACCAATAAAGAAACTGTGCATTTTTGTTATAAAAGTATACAAGCTTTGAATATGCAGGGTATAATTTTTTTAAAAAGTCGAAAATTATATTTAATACTCGAGTGAGGTTACAGTTTTGAACCATCGGTATTTTCTCATCGTACTGAAGTCTCTCTCGGCAAATATGCAAAATGCCATATTACTGAAGAAAGGCACTCGGTGCAACAAAAAAAACTAATATCTGTCAAATTTGAAAGTGGAAATCAGTGCTTCTTTGCTGCATCCATGCACGCACATATATGGATTGCCTCATAATCACATTTTTATGACATAATGCATTGCCTTGTGAATACTTTTTGGGAGGGGATTTATGCTTAGAAAGTACCAAACCATCTTATTTTTATTTATATTTATTGTGAATTAAAGTTGAAAAGTATAACAGTAAAATCTAACAACAAAATATTTATATTACCTTTTTAAGAAGATTAAAATTGTCGAAAAACTAAAATTTTTGGAGCAGATTTCTTTTTATTAAATTCTTAATAGTAGTGTTTAAAACTTGAAAACTTATTTTGGAATTGCACTGATTCCTAAAAATATGCTACGAAGATATCCACTAAACTAGCTTGTTAAAAAAATAATAATTGAAATATTGCCAAAGATTTGGCATTAGAATTGCCAGTTGATCCTTTAGGAGGAATCCAACCCAGATTTTATTTGCTTGCAAAAATATTATTTCTTGTAGCTAAATTGTATGTTATTTCATGGGGAAAATATTAAAATTTATTATATTGGCTTCTTATATAAATTATCCTATATCACAGCTGTAAGCAATTTCATAGTTCATGTATTCTTGGCAATTAAGAAGCAATTACTTAAAGAAAACAGTCACTGTGTGTGTGTAGTCACTAGGAGTGTGGGTGGTTAAAAGTGCAGTATGCAGCGAGTTGTTTCATCAGTCAGGTTGCAAAAGGATTTCTCAGGCATAGTTATATTCAAAGAGTAATACTGATATAGAAATTTTTATCTTTTCCTTTTAGGCAACATATAATACATTTTTATTGATGAAAAAATTAAAATTTTTCAAGCAAATAAAATCTGTTCCTTTTTAAGTATCTTTTGTATTCGTTTTAAATATCTTCTCCTGGGTTTTTTTATTTTGTAGATTGTGTTTTAAAAAACGGAATTATTTCTTTTTCAGGGATATGTTTTGTGTGCCTAATAAAAAAGGATTTGAAGTTGTTACATTCTTTCTGTTCTCAAAACTGGATGAAGTTGCAGAGCAAAATTATCGGTAACAATTATTCTTTATTTCATAGTAATGCATAATTCTCCAAAGTACAAAGTCCAAAAGCCAATGACCACAATGATCTCATATTATCTGGAACTCCCATTATTATTATTATTTTGAGAAATTTTCTTTTTCTCACATAACGTAAGAACAAAAAATATGTTAGTCGGGGGAGGGGAACCTGTAAATCAGTTTTTTTCTGAGAAGCTGAAATTTCTTTTATTGGGAGACATCATCTGTGACAATATTTAATCATTATGCCTATTGTTTCAGCTTTAGAAACTTCCTGGCTTGTTTGGACTAGAATGTTGTGTAATCTTTTTTTTTTTTTTCTCCTTCTTCTTCTTTCCCATAGCAGGGAAGAAAGAAGAAAAATTCCATTGGACTTGAGCTCAGCCAGCACTGTGAATGCTTACTTTGTGATTTGATTCAGCTTACTGTTTTGTTCAATCTTATTATTAATCTTATCAAAATTAAAGTTTTAGGAAGCAATAAGATCTCCATTTTACTCTTTCTCTGAAACGGTATGCCTGTCATTGAGCCATTAATTTCATGACCTGTTTCTCTGTAATGTAATCTTTCTTTGTGCGTAATAATTTTTTGAAGAAACATTATAATTGGGTGTTCATCTCTTGGCAAATCCCAGGTCTAAAAACCATTTTAATATTACATAAAACAAAAAAAAAAAAAAAAGTCCAACTTTTATTAAATGAAAAATGTGGTAATGTCAGGAAAGAAGCCAACGTATGCTAGTGATGCCTAGCAACAAAGAATTATAGTGAAGTAAAAAATCTAAGCAGCATGGATTTAACAGAAAAGAATTGCAAATAACTACTAAGCGAAGATTTTATAGCTGAAGAATTCATTGCAATAACAATGCATCAATCATCAATCAATTTCTGCATGGCAAAATCTGTAGTATGATTTTAAATTCTTAAATCCAGCCATTGATAATGAAGAAAGTGACAAAAGCATCGCTGTGAGTGAAAAGATTTTAATTAGACTAAGTAGTGAGAGTTCTCAATACAGCAGTTAGATTAAAACTTTAAAACAATAGAATTTTGTGATGACAGTGCTGAACAACAGAACTTTGTAATTAAACAAAAAATTATGTTTAAAATCAAAGAAAAAATATTAACACAAAGAGCCAAATTTCGTAAACCAACTCATGTTGAAAGAAATGTTTAATGAAATAAACATTTTTCGTAAATTTTCGGTCCCTTAATGTCATAAAATTTCTTTCTACATTTTATAAATAACCATTTTAATTTTATAATTTCATGTCATCTTACTAGATTTAAATTAACAACGAATCAGCGAAGTTCCGATGATTCTGGATTTCAGACTTTATACTGTATATATTGCAATTTTTTTGTTCTAAGATGCATTCCTTATTTTCAATCCCATCAACAAAGGGACTTTGAATCTTAAAAATTTATGTGAATGAAATGAAATGCTAAGATGTATCTGATAATTTTAATTAAAATATATTAACAACAATATCATTCTTATTTCAGTTGGTAATTTGGAAGAATTATTTATCTCAGAATAGTTAATAATTTCATCAGAATCTGTGATTCTAATGTGCACTTCGATTTTTTGGCAGTGTTTATTTGGGGGGGGAAATGCATGTCTTAGAGCAAAGAAGTATAGTATAGTGCGACAATTATCAACAGAAGAGAAAAATAGATGATAAGCGATAAAACAAAGTATTAACTGTTGAATTCAAAAATCTTAGAAATGAAAATAATTGATAAAAATTTCCTGTGATCAAACTCTAACTGAAGATTTCAAAAAGTGACACACTTGTTAACTTATGGTTGAACTAATAATAATAATAATAATAATTTAAATGCATTTCAGTTAAAGCTATCAAATTTATATTGACTTTTTGCACAACCTATTTGTGTGAACAAGGAAATTTTTCCATGTTATATTTGAAAATTAAATACAAACCAAAATTAAAAGTGGATCCTAATTTGCCATTAAAGTTAAATGAAATTAGACCAGGCATAAAGAAATTGATGTGTTTTAAACAGGCTCATATTTCACACTAAAGTTTAGAATTAAAGTATTATAACTTAAATTTTGATAGTTAAAATGGTAACTAAATTTTAATCTAATAGTTTTTCATGTGTGCATATTTAATACAAATAGCCAATAGGTTGAGCAAATGGCAAAATGTATTTTTTTTTAATATTTCTATTGAGAAATAAAAAAAATAATCATTGTAAATTGTAGTGGTGGTACTAAAGTTTTTCTTTAGATGGTACGTGTTAGTCAAAAGGTTGAGGACCGCTGGTATAGTGTATTCTTTTGAGCCAGTTTCAGCATGTAATATTTTCCTTTATTGTGAAATCAGTTATTTTCATTTTATCACATAAATGAAGTGTTTTATGTTTCTTCTCAGCATAGCAAAAATGCTATTCCCAAGGCTTGGAATAATTAATATATCTATGTGCATTTACATTTCAGAATTGTATGGCCATTATATAATAAGGAAACTGAAAGGCAATTTCAAAAGACCTGTTTAAATTACTTCTCAGAAATAGCTAAGGTATGTATCAGCCTTACTTATTTTGACTCTGTTTATTATTATTTTAGACATTAAATATTCTTTTTGACAGTTAAATGTATTATTTCAATAAAAATTAATTTTGTATTGCTTTCATAATAAATCTTTTTTCTTCATATTTATATGAGAATCTCATTTCAATTTAAATAGAATTTTAAAAAAAAATTCACATTTTTTTGGGTTATTAGAAAAAGTGTAATACAGTCAAAAGTCGTTAATTCGGACGCCCATAATCCGGAATGATCTATAATCCGGACCTCAAAGCTACAAACTTTCTGGTAAAGGTCTTACGCGCATGCGCGTAAGACCTTTACCGCGGCGAATTTGCGTGTGCGCGTGCGCAAAATACGTTTACGAAAGCGCGTTTAATGTATAACGGACGGAATAAGCTAAGCTAAAATTATCTAATTATCTATTTCAGTTAATGTTGCAGATTGCGTTGTTCCTTAATCTTCAAATTGGATCCGAATTATTATTTTTTGCAGACTGTTAGAGCAATTTTATAAAAGTAAGCTCGAACTTTCGATTATGTCAAATAGAATTTCCGATATATATTTACTAATATGTAAAGGATATACAAAGCGAAAGTATCTTTCGGAGTCCATTAAACAAAAAGTGGAATTGCTGCAAAAAATGGATAAAGCCATATCCTTTGTTTATCTTAACTTTAACGTTTGTATATCTAAACTTTGTTTATCTTTAACGCTGCGTGGCGTGCAATGAATTGGAAGTTGATCCGTCAGCACTATTTTTATCTATCTAAGCAACTGCTACAAACTGAGATGTTTTCCTCCTTTTATAAGATTTTAAAATCACGCGCTAGAATTTTCCAGTACTTTCTCGAAATCAAAAAGAGATATTTATTTATTAATGCACGCGCTCTTGTATTTCAATTTTCCGGCTTAGCTTTCTTTTAATATTCGTCACGCGCTGCACTGCGCGAGAAATAAAACCATTTAATTTCTAATTAAACTAACATTAGCTTTTTAAATACCAAATTCGTAACAATCAGAAGAGATCATACGTGAATTCTGGAAATAATATTTTGAAGTTCATTTCTAAATTTAAGTGAATTTTTAATATCATAATATTGGAGAATAGTCAAGGAAACCTCCTTATTAAATATCTGATAATGGATACAAAGTGTTTTTCAAATTAAAAACAGTAAAATAAAAGGGAATAAAACAGCAGTTAAACCTGATTACATATTTTAACATTTTGCATTACATCTTTCTTTGAATAGAAATTTTTTCTAGCATTAAAATTATCAAATTCTATATATATATATATATATAATAATTTTTTTTTTTTTTTGTGCATGCTCACATTTTAATTGTTTAATTATATGTCTGTGTTTCTTTTGAAAGTAGTAAACAAAATACTTATTTTACTGTCTAATTATTTATTAGGTGAGTCGTGTAAGATTTCCTCGTATTGTGAATTCTCTGCTATCAACTTTTAGTGGTGATCGTTTTTATAAGCTTTATCTAGCCTTCTCATCTCATGTACTCGAAAGAACTCTTGAGAGAAATATGACTGTTAATTCAAGGCCTGTAGTGTCTCGGCAGAATTATGCAATAGGTAAAGAAATTTTAAAAGTTTCTACTATTGGCTGTGTAGCAAGAACGAAAGAAGTTCATATAGCATCTTCTAATCATCTTGAAGTTTGGTTAAAATGTGCAAAGTAAGTATTTATTATTTTTTTAATTGTAGATGTTATGAATTATCATCCTGCATTTAGAAAGCACACTATTTCAATTTTTTAATGTTGTACACTGTCTGTTAAACATCATAGATGTATTTAAAATACATGATTCTTCAAAAACTCTAAATCTATAAACAAAGCCTGATAGTGATTATTATGAACTATTGATTACTTTTATTGCTACATATATGTCTAGGTTTGAAATTTTATAATATCAAGCTATGAGACAAATTACCAAGGCTGTTTTGAACTAATCTGATACAAACTAAGCAGGCATTTTTATGGGTTAAACAGTTGCAGAGACTATTCAAGAGATAGCTTTGATTTTGTATGAAAAATGAGAGTACCTTTAACTGGATTCTAGAGAGAGTCCCCTTTAAATGAACCGCGAGGGTTCCACTTGAGGGTTTTTTTTTTTTTTTTCCAAAAGATTGTAATGCTGATCCTGATTCACTTCAAATTTTCACTTTGCCTTTTAACATAGCATGTTCTAAATCATTACAAATATCTCTTTTACCCTCTAAACTCTCATTAAACTTAAGAAAATCAAGTAAAATTAAAAAGAAAAATCTGTGCTATCACTGTAAAAATTAAAAATTTAATTTAATAGAGAATATATACATGAAAAATTAACTCTTTGGAAATGTGAAGTTAAATTTAGGTAGCAAATCTGTAGTATTGTGAAAATCGGAATTTGTAATTAAAATGCTTAATTAATAAAAGTAAATTTAAATAATTAAAACAAGAGAATCATTGTTGATTCCATAGAAAGATCCTGACTTTTTAAGAGAATTAGAATCTTTTCATACAACCAGCAACAATTCATCAAGATTGTGGTTCATCATTTTGAATTTTTTAATAAATTTTTGGAATATTTCTATGGAATCGATGATTCTCTTATTGATGAATGAATCAATTGTTTAAATTTGCTTTTTTATTAATTAAGCATTTTAATTACCATTTACAGTTAAATTAATTACAAATTCCAATTTTTGATTTCTGCAAAAGTACACGTTTGCTATCTAAACGTGTACATTTTACATTTCCTGGAGACAATTTCTCATGTATATATTCTCTGCTTTATATATATACATACACAAAGGTGAGACCGAAAAGTAAGGTGACTGATGTCGTAATAATAACTGTATTATATCTTTACATATAAATATATCACTGTCCTTCAAAGTAGTTCCCGCTGTTTACTTAGGAAAAAGGTTACAGAGTTATTTCACCCCGCTTATTCCCCTGATCTTGCGCAGCAGACTTTTTCCTCTTTCCACGACTGAAATTGGCACTAAAGGGAGACCAATTTTCAAGCATCTCTAGACATTCAAGCTGCTGTTACCAAGAAACTTAACACAGTCTCAAAGGAGGACTTTTTCAAAAGTTTTCAGAACTTGTATGAACGTTTTCAGAAGTGTATTGTAGACAGTGGGAACTACTTTGAAGGACAGTGATGTATTTATGTAAATATATAATACAGTTATTATTATGACATCAGTCACCTTATTTTTCGGTCTCACCATATATATATATACGAAAGTAGCAAGACAACATGAATTACAGAGACCTTAGTGATCAAGAATTTTGCACATTGAGCAGCAAAATTTTAGAAGTCAGAGGAATTTTAAAAGTCTAATGCTAAAAAATACATTTGACACTATAGTTCCCTAGCAAAATTGTAAAATCATGTAATAACTAGAAGCAATATTAACCTTTTGAGACCGGGGCTTTGGTAGCAGTAAATGCCTTGAAAGGATGGGAAATCTTGAGCCGAATGCTTTGCCCCCTTTAAAAAATCACCTCCGATTTGCAACATAGATTCTCGTGTGTAGTTTAATGGATTCTTAGAGGGGTGCATCTATGTCGCAAAAGGAAGGGAAGTGTAGTGATTAGTGACGAGACTCCAAGATGCTTTTCGTCACTGAGGGAAAATTTCATATTACAGTTGTTCCAGATTGAGACTACTGGGAAATGTGTAAACCTCCGTTGAAGAAAATGTCATTCTTTATATTATAGGATGTTACTTTTGCTTTTATAAAATTTTGGTTTGAATTTTAAATTACACTGCAAAACTATGTATCTTTACTAACTGCTTGCAATAATTATTTCTATCGTATCTTTATATTAATGTTATGTCAAAAAAATATTTCAACTATTTGATTATTTCCTTGCATCAGTCTTCATCTCAGCCCCCCCCTTTTTTTTACTGTTAAATCTCCTTATAATTTTTAATTTGTTTTTGGTATATATTATCAAATATAGCTATATCTTTGAACTTTCTTCCATACAGGGAATAATTAGAAAATAAACACTTTAAAGCTATAGAAATGATTAAAAATTTCAGTGGGGCTGCTGTAAAATTTGCTCTATAGGCATAATAAAATTTAAATTTTACATAATTGTTCAAAAATCTGCTAATAACATACTATTAAGGAGGAAGTTTCAGCAAATTAGAATATAACTGGTTTAATTAAAAATAATTTTATTTTATTGTAGACTGTTAGTACTGCAATGTCCAACTACATAAGAGCTACTAATTAAAATTCAGTTCTTTTCCAAAAATAATGCATAATAAACAGAAGCTCAAAAAAGTTTTGTAGAATATTTTAGTTTTAAAAATTTAAAAAAAAAAAAAAAAAAAAGATTATTTAATCATGTACAGTTTTATGCTGTTTATTGAAAATTTTTAAGTGATATATTTCAAGTGAATATAATAGAATGAATTTAAGTCATTAAAAATATCAAATTATTTAGCATGCAAACCCATAATTCAAAACGTAAATTGCATTTGTCTTTTTTTTTTCTCATTTGTTTAAAACTAAATTTCCAACCTCACTAAGGGAACGTGTTCACTCGGGTATCAAAATTTAGATAATTTCTTATTGCAAAGAGTTTTTCAAATTGAAGGGAAAATTGTTTGTTATGCATAGTGTCTGCAAAAATTGTGGGACAAAAGTTACATGATAATTAGTTGCTGTCTTCAATGCTGTATTATGTTATTCTATATTATGCTACATAATTTAGCACATCAAGAGAAATTTCCAGATAATTTCAGGTGCCCGGTCAGCAAAATTCTCTCCCATTTGAAATCGTCATCCCATGCTAATTTTTCTATTTCCTCTATTGTTTAAACCAGTTCGTTTCAACTCCAGACTGTATTTGTAGTGCTTTGACATCAACCATGGCGGCATATTTTATGTGGTGGAATTTAAATTCTACAATATATTAGCGAGTATCTTTACTTGCAGTTACTCAAAAAATCTTCATTGTCAGGTCGTGCAAAATCTGTACTGACACAGTTGAATTAACTGTTTTTCTCTTTTTTATTGAAAATTTGGCAGCTATTCATTGGCTTCATTAACACTTCGAGCATTATGCTGTTGTATCGAAACTATTTCATAACTGAGTGCCCAAGGTATGCTCCCATGAATTTGTCCTTGAACTTAGTTGCTGAAATATATGTCTAATGAATGGCAAAGGCATTCAATCACTTAAAAGGTCAATTTCTGAAATTCAGATAGGGAACATGTGTTGTCTTAGAACAATGATTTTGTACATTATTTGAGAGCTTTTACATCCTGTTTGTATTCTCGGAGCTCAACGGACAGTGAAATTTCACAAATGCTACTCTAATTCCTTCTGAACATCTAACTTCAAAATTATTTCACCGTGACATCGAGGCACTGATACGGAGGTACCTTTTAAAATAACAGTATATCAGTACATCTGGAATCTAATGCCTAGAGATGACTTTTCAAACTGATTGACTAATTTTAGTGTATTTAGAATTTCCAGGTTTCAGACTGAAATTGTGCTTTGACGCAAAATTTATATTTATGTTCTTGTGATTTGTCTGAATAATAGTACCATCACAGTAAACTTCCGTGTGTCACTTCAGCATAAGCAGATATATATGGAAATAAACACAGAGCTGTTAAGAATGAACTGATAAGAATGTAAGAAAAAGTGCTTGTATATGTATACAAGTACATGGGAATTTATATTTGTTTATGGAAATGTATACCTACATATCCATGTAGTATGTATGTACGCACTGATATAATATGGTATAAGTGCAGATATGCACATAAAGCGGAAAGTATACGTACCCTTAAATGGGAATATTGTATATACAGACACGTACATGTGCACACACAGGCACACATATGCATTTATATATATGTGTTTGCGTGTGGATTTATGAATACGTGTATAAACATACAGATATATGTATGTGTATATATTTCATCATCAAGCTCTTGAAGACGTTTTCGTATTTCTTCTTCAGTCAGACCTCTTTTCAATTTTCGGCATATTGCTAGAGAAATGTCAAAATAATTCCTAAAAAACTTACGAAAATATGCAATATTCTAAAGCAAAGCAAGGCTCTGTTTGCAATTTACAAATGCAGTTATCACGAATTCTGTAGCTATGTAGCTACAAGAATTGAAAGGGGGAAATGAGAAAAACCGGATTCTTAACACAAAGACCTTTAAAAGAGATAAGTGGTTAAAACCCCAGGGACGTCAAATTTGACATTTCACCCCACTCTTTCAGCCTGGAAAATGGGGAAAAAGACATGGCCACTAAAGTGGACAACCCCTTCTTTTCAAACAGAGGACTCTATGGCCACTATAATGGCCATCCCATCTTCAAAAGGTTAAAGTAGTAAAAGCTATCTTGTAAAAATTACAAATCAAGATGACTTCAAAATCAAAAAGGGTGAGAAAAAATTAAGAAACTTAAATGCACAAATGATTTTAAAAAGAACTCTTGTAAAAATGAAATATATGTCAAATACACAGTAAATATGTACAAAAAATTGCCATAAATGGTAAATAGCTTAACTCGGGGCCTGAGCCAGATTTATCAAGGGAAAAGCAGCTCAAAACTCGAATCAAGTTAATATCTATAGCGCATTTCATCAAACGATAATAATTGAGGCTATAAATGTAATTTCACTAATAGAATAATCC